GAGCCGAGGGCGGCACGTGCCATTAGCGAGAGACCGCTCAGTCTCATTTCCGAGCAGTAGAACCTGATCTGCAAATACGAAAATGGCGAGGGATTAAACTGGACCCTTCGGTTAAAAAAAAAACGGTTCTTTTGCAAATTAGTCCCCGACGTCTTTCCTATGTTCAAGTTATTCCCCAAAATATTGGCAGTAGAAGGGGACTACATAGAAATGTCAAAAGATTTGAGGGACTAGTTTGAAAATATGAATACGAGGAGGACTATGTCAAAAAGCGCCTAAAAGATTTGCTAATTCCAAAACATCATATGAAAGATTTGAGGGACTGCGTAAAAAAAAGATAAAAAAAGAGTGAACTGACCATGCCGAGAGTAAACGAGGCCTCGAGATTCCCGGAGTCGGAGCACCGCTTCAAGAAGCGGTCGCCGGACTCCGACCAGTTCTTCGCCCTCATCACCAAACATTCCCTCGACGCTTTCGAGAGAACCGAAGCATTCGAACCTAACGCGTTCAGTCTCTTGCATCTGCTAACAAACAAACAAACAAATAAAATAAAATAAAAATAAAAAAGACAAAAACTTTCCGAAAGTGATTAGGAAAATTTTTGGAGAGAATTACGTGACAAGTGCGCTGACGAGATCGGAAGGGGAGCCGGCGGAGGAGCTGAGACGGGAGAGGACGGAGACGATCAGGTCGTCGGGCAACGCGTCGAAGAGATCGAGGTTCGACGGCGGATCTTTGCCGACGAATTTCTGCCTTTTGGGGTGAGGCTCCCGATTCCGGGTCGGGTTCTGCGGTTCGCATAGCTCGGGGGTAGAGAGGAGGGGGGGTGGAGGAGAGGTGAAACGAAGCTGTTTAAATATGAAAGGAGGTGGGCGATGGTGGATAGTAATTTACTCTTTTGCCCTTCGCTTGTGCCGCGAACTACGGGTGAGTAGTACTGTTTTCCGTTGACCGGATTGTTTTGCTGCTTTCTGGAAATTACTTTCCTCTTCGCGACCTCGTTAACTTCGGATGATTAACCGAAAACCCCCTTAAGCTTTAGGGGTTTTCTGATAAAATCACAAAATTAAATATAGGGTTTTCTGTTTATATCTAAAAGTTAAAAATGGGTTTTGCGATAATCTCTATACTTAAAGGGGGTTTGCTCATATTCACCAAAACTAAACTGGGTTTTTTCCCCTCTATAAAGACCAAATTAAGTAATCATTTTAGGTTTATTTTTAGGGAAAAATGTGTCCAGGCCCCAAAAACAGAGACTTCATGTGCTGCAGCCCCTTCTAATTTCCCCCATGTGGTTCAGCCCCTTGAAGTGTGACATTTTGTGCTGCAGCCCCTTTTTAACAATTATTACATGCCAACTAAGCTAAAATCCCCAAAATAACCTTACCCCCTCTCCTCAATCCTTCAAACCCAGTTCTCTCTCTCTCTCTCTTTCTCTCTCCCCTCTCTCTCCCCTCTCTCTCTTTAAAAACAAGGGTTTTATCAAGCTCGTCGCTCTGGCCCTCGCCCTCCTCGCCGTCGCCACCTCCGCCCAGGCTCCCAAGCCTCCCCCGAGTTCGTCGCCGCCTCCCCTCCTCTCCTCCGCCCGACCTCGTCGCGGTAGCTCGCCGTCGCTCCCCATCTCGCCAGAGAGAGAGAGAGAGAACTGGGTTTGAAGGATTGAGGAGAGGGGGTAAGGTTATTTTGGGGATTTTAGTTTAGTTGGCATGTAATAATTGTTAAAAAGGGGCTGCAGCACAAAATGTCACACTTCAAGGGGCTGAACCACATGGGGGAAACTAGAAGGGGTTGCAGCACATGAAGTCTCTGTTTTTGGGGCCTGGACACATTTTCCCCTTATTTTTACTATGTTACCCCAAAGTTTATTCATTTATTCACTTTTCTAAAAGTATTTTATGACAATATATAGCAACTCACTGCAAATATAACTTACGACTAAATAATATGCATAATGAACAGTTGAAATGCACGAGGTAGATTTAAATACATTAAAGTGTTTTTTGGATACAATAGAGATTTTTGAAGTGAGTGGCTTGAGTAAAACTTTAATTTTTTAGGCAAAAATGACATTTCAAAGGTAATTTCACTAAGCCCATCAAAACTTGGGCTTTTCCCACTAGACTCCTAGAACTTTGTTAAACTCTCAATAATTTCTTTGTGGGAACCCAAAACCCAAAAAGTCCCATATAACTATCCAAAACTTAAAAATTTTCAACGAGAAAACAAAAGGGGGGAAAAAACAAAACAAGGAAAAGATAAGAAGATGAGCCCTATATATAAACTAAGGTGAGATCAAAATTAGATAAATAATAATGTTCTCCAACTGCTACAGACACTTTGGGCAGCTGTGGGTAGTTTGTGCAAAAAACTAATAAGTTTTTGGGGGTCATATGAAACTTTTTAGAGTAATGGGTTCCATGGGTAAGGCAAAGTTTTGGGGCTTTTTAAAATTTACGTTAAAAATGAGAAAAACCAAAAGTTTTTGGGGGTAATTTGAGACTTTTTAGAATATTGGGTTCGGTGGGCAGGACAAAGTTTTGGGTTTTTCTTAATTTGCGCTAAAAAAATCAGACAAATTGTGTCACGCTGTGAGAAAATATCACAGTACATTAATTTTTCTATGTCAATCTTCATGAAGGATGATTTGGTAGAGGCTTGCCCATTTTCCTTAGGGAAAAAAAGATGATTTGGTACACTGGTCCTATTAGAAGTTGCCATGTGTACCATTATTGCTACCCTCATTGTACAATCTTCATAAGATAAAAACAAACTATAATTAGAAGAAGTCAACATAGCAAAAATTGTAGAAATCCCAGGCAATTAACTCTATCCAAATCTAGAAGAAAAAAAAAAATCTGATCTCCCATAAAGTGAAAATAGGATAATTAAGTGGCGCATATGACAAATTTTGATAGGGTGGATGGACCACATCATCCTAATGACGTGGTAAAGTTCGAAACCGGATAATTTCTTCAACTTTGGATTTTTAAGAGAAAAAGGAAAAAACCGCAATAAAAGATCAACACCTTCCCAATTTTCCTTTTGAGATAAAAATAACTGCCCAAAAGTGATCATATATAATTTAAAAGTAGGGACTCTATTACACCGCCCTTAAAAGAGTGGGTTAAATTATACCATTATATGATAGTCAAAATTACTATACTAGCCCTCTAACTATCCACGAGCGGTGTAGAGCACCCTTTTTATAAGATGGTCCCATAGAATTCTTTCTCATAAAAATAATGTTAGGGACACACCCCCTAACACACCAACAACCACACCCTCCTCATAAAAAATTTTAAAATCCCATGTGGGGCCCGGTTTACTGTAGCGATGGGAGAGAGGGGGTGTGGTTGGTGGTGTGTTAGGGGGTGTGTCCCTAACACCACTCTTCTCATAATTTGAGGTTTAGCTTGGTGAAATTTAAGAATTTAGACTCAATTAATAAAAAAATAAAAAAAACCGTGCCGGCCTTAACTGACCCCGCAAATCCTTAGCATTTATTTTGTATTAAAGCGGGGAATAACTCTGAGCACACTGAGAGAGAGAGAGAAAAGGGGGCCATGAATCAAGAACTGAGATCGCTGCTCAAAGATCTCGAAACCCTAAAGCGAAAATTACAATGATTCCATCGACAAGGTGCAATCTTTAATTCTTGCGATACTTTCAATTGCTTAGAAGTCTAATCTTTTCTACTGAATTCTGTAGATGCAGCAAAGAGTAGGCAAAATCGTGAGCATGGCGAAATTGGGGAATCCTCGGCGTTCCAAAGTCAAGGTCTCTACATTGTGCAAAGCTTTGAATTTGTTGTTGTTGTTGATTATCTTCTGTTGATGTTTGAATGTTGTGTGAGATTTGATTGATTTTGAGGGGTGCAGGATACGAGTGCTGAGGTGGTGGATAGCAACCCCTACGGTAGGCTAATGGCGCTTCAGAGAATGGGTATTGTGGAGAACTATGAAAGGGTACGGGGTTTCTCGGTTGCCACAGTTGTATGTTTTCTTCTTCGTAAAGGTGATAGATAATATGCGCCATGGCATTTGAGTAGAAATAATGATCTCACTATTAGATCAGGAGCTGATTAATTTTGCATAGTTGCAGACCGAAGATATACAGTTGAGGGGCAGTGTTTTGACAATTGCAGTGACACTTAGTATATGGAGTTTCTGTAGTATGTCTCAATTTGCCGAGTTCTTTAACCACTCTGATTGGAAATATTGGTTTGCACATTAGCACATGAACTAGCGATAATGCATGTTTGTTTACTTCTGTGGTGATATTGGAGTATTTGTTCATTGTTTGGTCATGTACCCATACCAATTTAATCCAAACTAATGCTTTCCTTTTTGTTGTTAAAATAGTATGGGTAACATAGATACATACCATTGCCCACTCTCTAGCACCGGAAAATGTGATTAGTATGTTCACGGATGACAAGATGTGACCTCAAATTTGACTGTGTTTGGCATTCATGTATACACATAATGCATTGCACACTTTTACACCTCATTTGGTATGCGGATATTGGGTCAAGTGAGAACGGAATGAAGTGAGAAACAAGATGGAATAGTGTAGGAATGAAATGCTCATTTCCATTCTCACATTTGGTTGAGATTAGAGAATCAAGTGGGATTGACAATATTTTTGTATTAATAATTAATAATTAATCATGGTATATTTAAAGTTTGTTTTTATTTTTTGGAATGGTCATTCCCATATAAAGTGGAAATTGATGAGAAGTGGGAATGAGATTTCTAGCTTCCGAATTGGCATTCTGTTCCTCTCATTCCTGACTACCAAACAAGTCATTATAGATTTTTCATTTTTTCGTCCAAATACTTTTGCTTTACTAACAGTACACTTGCCATCTTTAACTTTGATCTCTAGTTCTCTAGTCTATATTAAAATTTGGAATCAAGAAAAATTAGGTGGTGAGAAAGGTGAACTTGAGATTTTATAGTATAATAATAATAATACTCTTTCTTGTTTATCGTGTTTACTTCATCTACCATTGTTGTAGGGAATAGGTGGGGTGGGCAGTGTTGCTGTAGAGATGCTTACACGTTGTGGAATTGGCCGGCTATTGTTATATGACTATGACACAGAGGAGTTGGTGAACATGAATACGCTTTTCTTTCGTCCTGATCAGGCATGGTTGTCCTTCATCACTTATATTTCTTTTTCTTCTTTTGCTGGAATGTGGTTGCTTTTCATATTATATATTTTTGGCTTATTTTCACTTTGGTACTCCAAAGTTTACCCAATTTTCACTTGGATACCCCAAGGTATTTTTTAAAACTTGAATACTTTGCAATCCCATTTCACCTTTTAACACTTTGATTCCCTAAAATTTCAATCTCATTTCACTTTGATACTCCTGTCTACATCCATTAGGTTTCCATTAAATTTTATCTCCAGCTTATCAACTGGTTATACTGGATATAAATGTATCACATGCTAAGGACGTATTTTAAATATTGCAGAAAATTTAGTGAAATATGGATGGGATATCAAATCAAAATAAGATTGAAATCGGGGTATTAAAGTTTTAAAGAAATACTGGCATCAAAGTGAAATGAGATCAAAACTTTGGGAGTTTGGGGTATCAACGTGTTAAAAAATACTTCACGGTATCAAAGTGAAAATATGGCAAAAATTTGGGGTACTAAAGCGAAAATAAGCCTTTGTTGGTTATAATTTATAGCTTAAGATATTGATATAGATAGAAACCATCTTCCTGTTGACCATTAACAATAGTTTTTGTTTTATGGAGATAGCCTCACTCTCTGAACTTGTTGCTCCATTGTAGGCTGGCTTGACCAAGACAGATGCTGCCGTGCAGACTCTTTCGGATATCAACCCAGAAGTTGTACTAGAAGTAGGTGTCACTGTGTTATGTGGGATATTGTATATCATTTACTGGCCATGCTCCCACTTATTTTCTGTTTATTAGATCTTAAAATACCAGCCAAATACCATTATTTAGTCTAGTAGTCTTTACTGTTTAATGTTTGGAGCTCAAAGATTAATACAAAGCTGCATTTTATTGGCTAATAAAGCATCAAGAAGAAGAAAAAGATGATAAATTTACTGTAAAATAGTTCCCATTCTCCAATTAAGAGCCACATGCTTTTAATCAACCCTGTTCAATTTGCCCCCTAATGTTAGAAATGTCGATACAAAGTTGATTTCATTTTGATAGAATTGTTGGGGTTTTGGAGAATGTATGGAGCTTAGTGAGTCTAGGGAGACTGACAATCCCTTTTCATATTTATTTATTACTTTCAGAATATAACTTTATTTAATACCTTTCTTTGCTCAGATTTGTTTATATCTATGTCTACATTCATTACTCCTACATCACACTGCTAATAGACTTATTCTAGTAAAAATTTATTTATGGAGTTTTTGTTGAATTGCTTATTTTACTCTATACTACTATGTGTGAGACCTGGTACTTTTGCAATTTGCTCTTGCCTCGTCAGAATTATAGCCAGGCAGAAGAGTAACCACATGAAGGAGTAAGTAGAGTGTGATGTAGGGAAGAGATTCTACAAAACTCTTCCTTTTGGTGCAACATAAACAATGGATTAGTTCTACATAGTTATCATACTCACAATGTGTTGACAGAGAGAAATTCGTCGGCGTTAGATATGCAGGTTAACTCTGACATGTCAAAAACATGAAGCGTAATAATAATGTCCTATTCTACATGAACAATTGACCCCGAGTCTTGTAGTACTCTTAACTTTCAACTGCAGGTATTTATTTATTTTGATATTATATTTCTTCAGAATGACTTCATTTAGTACACAATCATTTTCATTCCTTCCTTTTCTCTTCACAGAGCTATTCCTTGAACATTGCGACTGTGAAGGGTTTTGAAGTTTTCATGGAGAGCCTGAAACGAAATAAGAAGCAAGGTGCACAAAACACTGGAGTTGATCTTGTATTGAGCTGTGTTGATAATTATGAGGCTCGTATGGTCGTTAAATAGGTAATTACCCTTTGTTTCCATCTACTTAATAGCTTTTGTTCCTAAATAAGTTACACAATTCATCAGGAACATAGGGTGCATTATCATACCTAGTTTTGATTGTTCCGGCTTGCAATGAGCTGAAGCAGACGTGGATGGAGTCTGGTAAGCGAACATGCTCTCTGTTCATTTTAGTCTCGATCAGTTTTACCTATATTTCTTTTAAATAATTTGCCCAACTCCTTTGTAGACTAGCTTAACGTGTACAGTCTGGTGGAAGTATGAGATTACATGGAAAATGAGTACAACAATATAGGATGTGATCGTCTTAACTTAAAAACTGCCTAAGAATCAATTAGTCTACATATTTGTTGCTCATGGTATCACTTGTTTATCATTGTGAAAACAAAGAAGCTGACTTTACATCTGGAATAGCAATATCTCCTGCAAAACTGGATCACAAGTTACATATGATTTCCGTGTCTATCATACTAGTGACCAAGACACATCCTGGAATCATGGACGCTTCTGTGTTACTCTTGTCAGTTGCATGCTGTGAGAGTAATAACATTCAATATTTTTTCTTGGCCTGGACTTTGATCTAGACATGTTTCTAGATTTGCCTCTACCACCAACACCCTTTTCAGGACGACCACGAGTGAACAAGCCTTCAGCTTGATCCTCTCCTCCTACGACATATACTTTCTGCCTTAACTCTTTTGAATGTAAGGCTGATTTGACATCCTCCAAAGAAAGTGTATCTCTACCGTATGACATGCTATTGACAAAATTTTCATAGGAATGAGGTAATGAACATAACAAGATGAGTGCTTGATCTTCTTCGTCGATTCTAACATCAATATTCTTTAAATCCATAAGAATAGTGTTAAGTTCATCTAAGTGGTCTTTAATTCGCATACCTTCCGTCATGCGAAGGGTGAAGAGGCGTTGCTTCAAGTAAAGCTTGTTCGTTAGAGATTTCGTCATGTACAAGCTCTCCAACTTGAGCCACAAACCGGCGGCGGTATCTTCATCGGCAACCTCCCGTAGGACCTCATCGGCCAAACAGAGTTGTATGGCACTATGCGCCTTCATCTCCAGCTCTTCTTTCTCGTCATCGGGCATAGATTCCGGCAACTTATCATTTCCGGACAAGACCTTCAACAATCCTTGTTGTACTAGAAGAGCCCTCATTTTTACTCTCCACAAACTGAAGCTGTTTTTCCCATCGAATTTCTTCACTTTGTACTTTGCAGAAGACATCTTGAAGCCAACTGGAACAGTAACTGTATTTATGAACAGCATCGTATTTGTGAACAGTAACCGTACGTATGAATAGTGACCGTACGTATGAATAGTAATAGTACTTTTGAATAGTACCATACACGTGAATAGTACCCAGTGCCTTTAAAGAGTAAATGATAATCTAACTTATTTTCTGATGTGGATGATCCACTTTTAGTGACAGCCACAGAGCATACGATAAGCAGATACACGTACTCTAAGCAGGCTCTGTTACCAGTTTGTTACAGCGGAGGGGCTTCACAGACACAGAAGATGTCTATACAAGAGTGGACAAATAGAAAACAACACACCAGGATTTAACGTGGTTCGGTCAGTATGACCTACGTACACGGGTGAGAACAGCAGAGAACTTCACTAATCACCAAAAGAGAATATTACAAAAGAGGAGATCACTCTCTTGCCAGAGACTCACACAAAGAAAGAGGCAAATTCTTTCTATCTCACTCTCTTCTCTCTAAAACTCTTCTTCACTCTCTTTCTTTTCTTTCTCCGACTGATGCTCACGACCTCGATGCTCTAAACCACCTCCTCTCACCCCCCTTTTATAAGTTACAAAAATAATAAAATATTTATGAATGGGCAGGTGAGACATTGACAAATGAGCTGCTAACTTTGGAAAAAACAATCCCAAAGTAGGTAGATGAAGACTTTTTTTTTAAAGTCACGTTTCTCACAAATCTCCACATTGACTTTGAAAATGAAGGTCTTGTGCGTCATCGTACAGTTCGACATACACCACAACAAAATGGAGTTGCAGAAAGGATGAACAGAACACTTTTAGAGAGAGCTCGATGCATGCTCTCTAATGCCGGTTTGTCAAAAGTTTTTTGGGCCGAGACAGTTAATACAGCTTGCTATTTGGTAAACAGATTTCCTTCCACAGCAATTGATTTCAAGACTCCAGAAGAGGTATGGTCTGGTTCCCCTGCTGATTACTCTCATTTAAGAGTATTTGGTTGCTTTGCTTATTTTTATGTTAATGATGGTAAGCTTGAACCTAGAGCAAAGAAAGCTATCTTTCTAGGATATGCTACTGGGGTGAAGGGATATAGATTGTGGTGTTCTGATCCCAAGTCACCTAAGTTTATTATTAGTAGGGATGTTACTTTTGATGAAAAATCCATGCTTCACCCGAGAAAGGAGTTTGTTATTGACACTACAGGTACTGAAAAGGAGTCTAGCAAGCAGGTGGAGCTAGAGAGCTCAACTTCAAAGAGAGTGCTTGAGGGCGCTCATGTTGAACCAGTTGATACTGAGGAAGGTGCAACTTCAGATGCTGATACACCACAAGAGCAACAATATAATATTGTCACCGGGAGAACAAAAAGGCAGATCCGACCTCCTCAACGCTATGCAGACATGCTTGCTTATGCTTTGAGTGTAGCAGAATCGATTGAGGTTCCAGAACCTTCTACCTACAAGGAGGCTATTAGTGGCAATGAGGCTGCAAATTGGACTGTTACGATGACTGAAGAGATGGAGTCTCTTCACAAAAACCAAACATGGGAGTTAGTGAAACCACCAAGGGGACAGAAGATCGTTGGCTGTAAATGGGTCTTCAAGAAGAAAGAAGGAGCTTTGGATACAGATTCTGTAAGGTACAAGGCACGTTTGGTAGCTAAAGGTTACAGTCAGACCGAAGGTGTGGACTTCAATGAAGTATTCTCTCCAGTTGTAAAACACACCTCAATCCGCGTGTTGCTTGCCATGGTTGCTCATTTTAATTTGGAGCTTGAGCAACTTGATGTGAAAACGGCTTTTCTACATGATGAGCTTGAGGAGAAGATTTTTATGCATCAACCAGAGAGATTCATTGTTGAAGGTAAAGAAGATCATGTGTGCAGGTTGAAGAAATTTCTTTATGGGTTGAAGCAGTCTCCGAGGCAGTGGTATTTGAGATTTGATACTTTCATGTTTGAGCATGGTTACTCTAGGAGTAAATATGATAGTTGTGTTTATCATAAAAAGCTCAATGATGGTTCTTTTGTATATTTGCTTTTGTATGTTGATGACATGTTGATTGCAGCTAAAGATATGTCAGAAATCAACGAGTTGAAATCTCAACTCAAACATGAGTTTGAGATGAAGAACTTTGGAGCAGCAAAGAAGATTTTAGGGATGGAGATCCACAGGAACAGGCGAGAAGGAAGTTTATTCCTATCTCAGGAGAAATACATTAAGAAGGTGTTGGAGAGATTTGGCATGCTTGATGCCAAGCCTGTGAAGACTCCGCTTGCAGCTCATTTTCGTCTTTCAGCAGATTTGTCACCTCAGACTGAGGAGGAGCAGTACATGTCTCATGTTCCTTATGCGAGTGTAGTTGGAAGCATTATGTATGTGATGGTTTGCACCCGTCCAGATATTTCACATGCAGTCAGTGTTGTGAGTCGGTACATGGATAAGCCTGGAAAGGTCCATTGGCAGGCTGTGAAATGGATACTTAGATATTTGAGAGGATCTGCTAATATTGGTTTGTATTTTGGCAGGAACACAGACTCAGATTGTAGAATACGTGGCTATTCTGATTCAGATTATGCGGGTGATTTGGATAAGAGACGATCCTTGACAGGTTATATATTCACTCTTTCAGGTAGTGCTATTAGTTGGAAGGCGACTCTACAGTCGACAGTTGCTTTGTCTACCACAGAGGCAGAGTACATGGCAGTGACAGAAGCAGTGAAAGAAGCCATTTGGTTGAGAGGTTTGGTTGAAGATCTCGGCTTACACCAAGGTGTTACTACGGTATTTTGCGACAGCCAGAGTGCTATACATTTGACGAAGCATCAGATGTATCATGAAAGAACCAAACATATAGATGTCAGGTATCATTTTATCAGAGAAATTAAAGTCATCAGGATTGAGAAGATTGGTACTGCAGATAATCCAGCAGATATGATGACGAAGCCCGTACCTTCGCGCAAGTTCGAGCATTGTCTCGAATTGCTTGGAGTTCGACAAAGTGAAGGTTAAGCCCGTAAGGGGCTTCTGGCGAGACAGCAAGAGTAAAGAAAAGACCTTCATTTTCAAAGTCAAGGTGGAGATTTGTGAAAAACGTGACTTTAAAAAAAAAGTCTTCATCTACCTACTTTGGGATTGTTTTTTCCAAAGTTAGCAGCTCATTTGTCAATGCCTCACCTACGGTCTTCATCTACCTACTTTGGGATTGTTTTTTCCAAAGTTAGCAGCTCATTTGTCAATGCCTCACCTACCCATTCATGAATATTTTATTATTTTTTTAGCAGCTCATTTGTCAATGCCTCACCTACCCATTCATGAATATTTTATTATTTTTGTAACTTATAAAATGGGGGTGAGAGGAGGTGGTTTAGAGCATCGAGGCAGTGAGCATCAGTCGGAGAAAGAAAAGAAAGAGAGTGAAGAAGAGTTTTAGAGAGAAGAGAGTGAGATAGAAAGAATTTGTCTCTTTCTTTGTGTGAGTCTCTGGCAAGAGAGTGATCTCCTCTTTTGTACCTGTGATGTGCACGTGTGATGTGCACGGATACCATGTCTG